AGACAAAAAAAATTGAAACCTGTGCAGATCACAGACAAAGCAAGCATCTTAATTCCCCTTAGACAGAGATTAATAGGCAGGGCAGGGCAGGCGGGGGATGGGGAACAGGCCCCACCGTGCCCTCCTGCCCACAGGGCATTGCTACAGGCCGAGGCAGGAGCAACGAGCAGGGCCTGGGCTATCCCCGTCAGGACGGCGAAGGGCGGCCACGTGGGACAGGAAGCACTCGCCCCAGAGGTGCCCAAACTCCTGGCCCCGCAGTGCTGGCGGAGCCATGCCCGCTCCTGCGGCTGCAGCAAGGGCGCGTGGCCTCTGCACCCCTCAGCCACACAGGCAGGACGTGGCACTGTGAAGGGAGGGCACAAGCCTGACCTGTGAATCCACGCTGGCTCACGGAGGGAGAGAGCACCCACAGCCTGGGGCCCCACCTCGGCCCTGCCACCCACTTCCCATGCTCCCCAGTGCCACACAAGGCTGGGCCACGCCATCTCCACGCCTAGGAAGGAAATGGGGTCTGGCAGCAGCAGCTCAGGCTGCACACTGGGACCACTGGCGACCGAGGGCCTGGGCTGCCGCAGGATTGGGCCGAGGGGAAGCCTTTTTTGCCACCTGCTGCAGCCGATGGAGGGGGTCAGGGTCCGGGGGCCTCTGGGCCCTGGCCCAGGAGCATTTCACTTAGCACCACGATCAGTATCTTGATCTTTGACATTAAACGGCCTCCGCCGGCCCCACGGGAGGGACTCGTCATGAACTATTGCACATTTCTATATAATTTCTTTTTTTTCTCTCTTTAAACTTTCATCTCAACCAATACGCCCGGGTCGCCTCGTACCTCTTGGCAACACCTGATTGGGGGAGAATGGCACTTGAACAGGGGGAGGGAAACGAAGAACAAGTGGGCGAGAGCGTCTCAGGGCGACTGACGGAGAAGGAACAAGTCAGCAAAGTGCTTCCGTCCGAGCTCGGCAGGGAGAGAGAGACATCTTTCGGGGCAACGGCCACCTCCTGGGGCCAACTAAACAATATTCTTTTAAAAACCAAGAACAGAAAATATAGATTTATATATATACGTGCCACTGCGCCTCGCATGCCCCCAGGAACACCCTCACCTCAGAGGGCCCCAGCCATGAAGGCATCCACGCGCCACGGCTGGGTAAGTGCTTGCAGAAATTGGGAGAAAGGGGAGTGGTTCTTGGAAGCAAAGACCTGGGGGAAAGGCCTGTGGTGCCAGCAGAGCCCTGGGCCGGAGATGATGGGGCACAAGGGAGCTGGTGCAGGCGGGTGCCCAGTGCTCGTGCTGCAGTACAAGCCCTCCTCTCCAAGGCAGGGGCAACGCGTGCTGGGTTTTGGGGGAGCCCTGCTGGCTCACAAAGAGGCAGCCTCCGAAGCATCAGCAGATCCTCCCCCAAGGCAGCTGCCCCTTCAGGAAGCCTCGGAGTTTGGGTCTCACAGTTGTAACCATGGACTGGGGGGCAGGAACCAGCCCCGTGAGCCAGGAGGGATGGCACCGATGGCTGGGAGCTGCTGAAGGAAGAAAGGTGCCGGCAGAAGCTTCTACGGGCTTCACGCAGAATTTCACGATTCATTCGACGCCGGCAAGGCCCGAAAATGTTCAAGAGCTCCTTCTGGCTGACCACAGGGCTCAGGCTCCTTCCCTCTGCACTAGCAGCTGCAGGCACATCCCTCACTGGGATCTGTAACTGTTTGGCCAACAAGGGTCTCCCCATGATAACCAGAGCAGCCACAGGCAGGCATGAGGAGCTCCACATCCCGCCTGCACCACCCTGCACAGCCGCGTCCTGGCTGGGGTCAGCGCCTCTGCTCCGCAGCACTGGGCAGCGGGGACCTCTGGCACGGAAGTGAAGTGCAAAAGGAGCATTTTCCAGACCATGTTCTCAGCTTGCTCATGCCTCAGGTCAGCTGACACCATTCTTGTCCAAGCCTCCATGCGGGACGCACACCCGGGCTGCAGGCCTTTGCTCTGACCCCTGCCCTGCATTTCTACTTGAGTCAGGCCTGGCTGTTGCTTCCACGCAGGGAAGTGACGTGGAGCAGCTCTTGGGCACGCACCGAGGCCACGGTGCCCTTTGGTAGTTCACAATCCACAACGGACCTTCCACCTCTCCACTTTTCGATGCCAAGGGCCGCGGTACTGGAGGCTCAGGACTGTGGGACGGCGAGTTCCTGGCACTACCCACACCCGTCGGCTTGGCTGTCTGACAGGGAGCCACCTAGCTGGCCCTGCACCGCTTCGCTGGCACCCTCTGCACGAACACAACCAATGGGACCTCTAGGTGCTGCCTGCCCACGTCTGAGCTGATCCAGCGAGTTCACAGCTTGGCCGCATAGGGCAGATGCACCGAACTGAGTGCCGGCTCCTTCCTGGACCAACCTGCCTTCCTCCAGGGAGACCACGTGCAAATTGGGCCAACCTGTCACAGCCTCGCCTGGAGTGGCTGCGTCCAGCACCACTCCTTACCTCTCTTGGAGGACGAGTCCCAGGTGCCCCCCATGCCCGGGGCAGAGGGCAACTGTCCGGGCTCCGGCACACAACTCCCACTCCCCGGCCTTCCCTCGAGTCAGCATGGCTACCCTTTACAAATGGTCACGTTACAGGGGATGCCCTTCAAAAAATAAAAATAAAAAAATCTCTGGAAAGGAAAAAAGTTTTAACTGTCCATTGAGCAAAGGAAAAAAAAAAACCCCAAAACGAAAACACAACACAATGAAAAATTCTAGGCTTTGTCATTACAAAAAAAATAGCGTAAAACAAGCAGGAACACGTCCAGTGCTGATCCAAGCAGACACTGCTCTGACCTCTGGCAAGGGGAGTGGCCTCTGACTGCGGTAGAAACCCAGAGAGGAGCTGGGGGGGAGGACAGGGCGCTCAAGTTTGGGTTGTTTTCGGTTTTCTCTGTTGTCTGTTTCCCCATGTATGGTAGGCACCAGTACAGGCACTGCATGCGACGGATGTGGGGTGGGCAAGGAGGGGCAGCCGGAGTTATTTCTGTCCACTGATGGACTGCGATATAGACCGGGGTGGGATCATATCTAAAAGATACTCCCGCTGCCGATCCGCCAAGCTCGACGCTTTGTGACCTCCAATCCCGGCGTTCAGGTAAGCGATGTTAACACCTGGGGGGGAGAGAAAAGCAAGGGAGAGGCTACTTCTCCTCTATGGCGCTGGGCTCAGCCTGAGAAGACGCTCCAGCCCCTCCGCCCATGTGGCCGCCTCCTCGACAATCTGCCGCACCGACAGCCCCGTCCTGCCACCCAGTGGGGCCTGCGCCACCCTCAACGCCATCTTTGCTGCAAATCTAGAGAACGCCACCTCCTCAACGCCCCCAGCCCCAGCCTCACAGGGTAAAGGGGCAGCCTTGGCAAAAGCTGAGCCTAGCTGCCAGGCAGTCCTTGCCTGCTATGTCCTGGGGTCTAGCTACGGTGCGGCTCCCGGGACACACAAGTCATGGGCCAACAAGGAGCAGGTCTAAGTTAGTGGTTTCAAGAGTGCCCCATGCCCTTAACTAAGGGGCAACTGAGACATTCAGTACTAAGTAGCACAACAGACACCTGTTCATTTGAAGGCCAAAGGGCTGCAAGATCAAGAAAAAACAGGCCCCACCGACAGTTCTTTTGCCCAGCATGCCCGACACTGCCAGTGGTTAGCCCTGTATAGGGCCTCTATGACAAACCTCAGCCCATGCCCCCTCCAGCCTCAGGCCAGGCTGCTCCCATATTCATAGCAGAGTCTGGAGCCCCCCTCCCCCCTCTCCGCTGGCGGTGAGCTTTTAGATCTTACCTGGCATACCAAGAAGACCACCTGCCACAGAGAGCTGGGGGCCCTGGGCAAAGTTAGAAAGCATGGAGCGGGCAGATGTGGGGATGCCACGCTGCAGAGTGCTCTGGGGCTGCGGGGCCTGCGGGAGGAGAGCAAGTGAGCTGGAAGCAAGCTGGGTCCCCACGAACCAAACACCATGGGCCCTGCACAGGCTGAGAGGGGAGCTTGGCCACAACCTGCATGTGCTACCGTGCAACGCCTGGCTCCGGGGAAGAGGAAGTCAGGTTCTGTGCTGATGGGGAGGGGTCCAAAGCAAACGCAGGTCCCATTTCCAGGGAAAGGAGGAATGGAGGAAGGTTCCCAGAGGGCAAAACTTATCTCAGCAAGCACAGCTAGCATGCTGGGAAGTAGGGGCTCCCGGGAATGTGAGTAGGCGGCAGCCAGGCACCAGGACAGCGGGATGGCTGCCAGTGCCGGGGAAGCACAGACCTGGCCGATGGCTCAGTGCCAGCCCAGCTGAGACCGCTGGGCTGTGTTGCCTGCGCCCCCTGCTGGGGGATCAGGGGAGTGGCAGGGATGATCTGCAGGAGGCCTGTACCGGAGCCGTACAGACCTGCACGTGGCCAGGCTGGTGCCGGTGAGCCTTGGGCCCACACTAGGGCACCGACTGCCTGGTTGCAAGGACTGGAGGGAGGCAGAGGGCTCCGAAGCCGAACGGACAGCTCCCTGCTGTGTGGTGGTGAGGACGAGGCCCCCTGGCAAACTGTCTGGGAGCCAGGCATTCCCTGCCCTTTGCATCGCAGTGCAACCAACTCGCTGTGCCCCAGGCACTGGGGCCTGACCCAGAGGGATGTGTGGCCCCATGCCACCAGGGGTGCGGAGCATTCTGATGGGGCTGCTCACCTGTCGGAGCGTATGGTGCCTCATGATGTTTTCCTGCTTGCTGACACTGGACACGGCAGGCGTGGCTGTGGGGGACAGGGCCGCCTGCTGCTGCAGCCTCTGCTCAATTTCCTGTGGGGAAGTAGAGGCACATTAGCAACTTGCATGCAGGAGCCTGCTCAGGGCATCTCGCTGGCTTCAGTGCCAAACAGGATCCATCCCTCCAGTGTCAGCAAGGCCAGCGGGTGACACAGGGCCTGCAGCACCCACTGCTCACCCTGCCTGGCTAAGATCCCTTGTGATGAGAAAGGTTTGTAATGGGCACAAGCCAGACAGGCAGCTTTCTTAGGACCCTCTCCCCCCATGCACACGCCGCAGCGATGAGGGTGGTGGAATCAGAGCTGGATCGCCGCACACCTGGCTTGGGAAGCCAACCCCTCTGGAAGCTATGGTGCCATGGGGAAGGTGCTGACAGGCAGGCGCAGAAGGCTGCTCTGTGGGAAAGCAGCGCCAGACGTCATGAAGCCTGATGAGTCACCGGCCGTTTATTTTCAACTCTGAAGCATCGCTGCCTCCCTCATCACTAGCCAAGGGGTGCAGATGTGGCCACCTCAGAATCGGGGAACAGCAAGGTCTTAACCCCCAGGTTCAGGCATGGGAGTCTTGGGAGCACTGCCATTGCAGGGCCTGGGCTAGCCTGCCTGGCAGTGCTCCTGGCCTGCACTGGGCTTTCCACACCTGGAGGCAGAGCTCCAAGGTGACCAGCCCTCTGGCAGGTAAAGCCCCCAAGAAGCAGCTCCCAGAGCTCAGAACAGGAGATGTGGCTCTGGAAGACCCTGCCAGCCCTGCAAGACCCTCTCCCTTCTCCACTGCTTTCATATGGCAGGTCTCGGCACAGCCCAGGGAGTCTGGCTCATCTCATTGTTCTGCACCTGCCTATCAGAGTGCACAGCTCCCGCATCCCCCAATCATGGAGTCACCCGCTACTGCTAAATAGGCAACTAACTGTCCCAATTTGGGGGAGCAGGGGTACTTGCCTGCTCCTGCTGCAGGGCCTTCACGAAGGCGTTCTTGAGCCGGTTGGTGTGCTCTGCTTTCAGCGCCTTCTTCTGGTTGGAGGTCATGCACTGCTCACACAGGATCTTCCCGTTCTTCTCTTGCTTCCAGTGCGGGGTGAAATCCGTGCGGCATTGAGCACACACAAAGGGCTCCACGCGCAGAAGGGAGGCGCAGCTTTTCCCTAGGTGCCACCAGGAACACAGGTTAACGGGGAAGATGGGATCTGCCTCCCTCCCTGCACACACACATATTCCCGCCCCCCCCCCGCACACACACACAGTGGTCGCACAGCAGGGGCAGAGAAAAGCAGAGGAGACCCCCGCACTAGGCTGACACCATTATGTGCACTCCCCAGGCAGGGCTAAGCTCCAAGGGGTGGGTAGTGGCTAGAAAGGCACCATCTGGAATCGAAGCCCCTACCCCCATGCAGGCTCCATGCCCCGGCAGCCCATCTGCAAGACAGGACACAGCACCCCACAGACTAGATTTGCTCCCTGCTCTTCCAGGTACAGAATGGGCAGGAGAGGGATCTCCTGCAAGGCCCTTCTTCCCCACTCCACAGGGCCCACAGCGCAAGGGCTCACCCTGCACAGCCAGTCCCGGGGAAACATGCACTCGGGTCCCCCAGCTGGCGAACAGTCGGTGGCCAGCCTGGGGCCTTGGTACTGTGGCTTGTAACTGCCCTGGGTGCCCCGATGCAGTGTTGCTCAGCGCTCGTCACAGAATCCTAGAGCAGTGGGGCTGGAAGGGACCCCCAGAAGCCATCCAGTCCAACCACTGCCTGAGGCCTGATCAGCCCTGTCCAAATCAAAGTATTGCAAAGTGCTTTGGGGATGTACACCCTCAACAACACTGGGGAGGGCACCTGGCACTGCCCCCGTGTTCTCAGTGGAATGAAAGAGGCTAGGGGAGTAACAAAGCCTGGAGTTGCCAGAACCTCACAAGGAAGCCAAAGTCTGATGGGGTTTTACAGAAGGGGAAGACGCGAGGCCAAAGTGACCGCCCCCCGCACAACATAAAATTCACAAGTCCCACATGCTTACCTTGGCTGTCGATGACGCTCTGCACCACCTCCTCCAGTCCCACCATGTAGATGAACTCACTGTTGGCCGCACTGGGCAGGAAGTGCAGCAAGGGCGCTGGTGGTTTTGGGGGTGGAATCTCCAGCAGCGTCTTTTCCAGCTGCTTGCGCAGGGCAAGCTTGGCAGCAGCCTGCGAGTTGGCAGCGTCGTTCAGAGCACTGGGGCTGGGCAGTGGAGACGAGACCCTGTTCACGGTCCCGGGCTGAATGTGAGAAGCAAGGTTCATGTAGATGGCTGAAGACGACGTGCGCTGGCAAGGAACAGAAGAACTGGACTGCTGCAAAGGGAGCAGAGAGGACGGTCAGTGCATGTCTGCAGCAGCCGTGCCAGAGATGGATGTGACAAGTGGACGGGCAGGAAGAGGGCAGAGGGGGGTACTTCATTCCTTCTATGGGGACTCACGCTGTACTCTGCCATGACTCTGGGCCATTTTAAGAGGCAGGGCATGGATCCCTCATAATCCTCCTCCAGCTGCAGGCCATATGCCAGGGGTTCGAGGCTGCAGTCAGCCCCAAGGAGCCTGTACGTGCGTGTGAGCCTCTGCCACAGCCCCCTCAGCAAGACAAATGCCCAAGCAGCAGGAGATGTGACTCCACTGCCCCCCAGTCTGAGGAAGGCTGCAGCCAGCTGGGAGGATCCTGCCTGAACGATCACAGCCGGCCTCCTCCAGAGTGGAGGCAGCCCCCTGCATGGTGACTCATTTGCTGGCACCACTGCACCCTCTCAAGTTCTGCTCCTCCACCTTGGCAGATCTGGCAGGCACCCAAGCGGCATCATGGCTGCCAGATGGTGTCCATCTCCTCCCACACAGGTGCTCCAAACATGCCAGCTCCCTCCTCTTCCATTTCCAGCAGCTTCCTTCGGCATCCTCCATGCCATGAGGGACACTCAGCCCTCATTTCCTCTGGCCCGTGACGGTGACAAACCACAAAGACTCTTCTGCTGCCCTGAACTGCAGCTTTCATGCTGCTTGAGGGGAACCTGCCCCAAGTCTGAGTGTGGGGTAGTTGTTGTCACAGCCAACCATGTTCAAGAGGGCTTCCCTAGTCCAGATGTCTGAGCATCTTGACGTGGCAAAAGGGACAACACTCCAAGCACCAAAGCACAACCAGTGGGTCACAAAGGGCCCAATCCCCAAAGCAGAGGAAAGTCAAGAACCACTTTGGGGAAAAAAAAGAAAGGAAACTGGAGTTTAAGACAAATGGATTAGATATCCATGAAGCCATGAATCCACAATCAAAGGGACCATGGTGCTGGAAGACCATTCTCATTTAGTACGGAAGTAAAGGAAGGCAGCAATTAGACATAAGGAAGCAGCATGTAATAAATAGAAAGAGAGGGAGGGGCATAGACAGCAATCAATAAACACTTCAAAATTATTAAGTAACAGAAATTGATAAGGGAAGCTAAACGCATCAGAAAAAAAAATCTCTATAGCTGGGAGGGGTGAGGGAAGTAAGGAGTTTAAGTACATTCAGAACAAAAGAAATCCCAGGGCTACAACTAGCCAGAGACAGAAAAACACAGACACATTCACCAATTATTTTTGTCAGATACTTGGAACCATTCAGGGCAACATGCTCACAGAACACACGGGTGATGGGAGTACTTTCCAGTCCCTTCGCGACAAGGACATCAGGCAGGATCTGCTAGGAGCAGGCATTTGAATCAGCAGGCCTGAGTAACTTGTAGAAAGTCCTTGAAGAGTAGGCCAAGAAACATCCCTGGCCTGCTGATGTCACATTTTAATAAACCTTGAAGTACCTGGGAAGTTCCAGGGAGCTAGAAGAGCGAATGCTGTGCCAATATTCAGGAACAGCAGGTAGTGTGACCTGGGCAAACATAAGCCGTTTAGCCTCACACCAGTCCTGGTAAATAATGGAAAAGCTGATACGGGACACAACTGAGAAAGAATTAAACATGAGAAAGAAGAAAAGAAAAATGTGGTGCCTGGCATTCAGCTGAGGAAACCAGGTCTTGTCAAACAAGACTGATTGAGTTCTTTTGAGATTGCATGTCTGCAGGATAGCAAGAGCTGCACAGATGAGACCTCTGGGTTATTAGCATGTGGCGTTCCAGCTGAAGAATTAGCACCAGCCCCTAAAGGACACTGACTGGATTAAGGATTGGTGGGCAGATCTCAAGACTACGTCACCAGCTGGGGCTTTAGAGCGGAAATCTGCACCCACTTGGTGCCACATAACCTTTTCCTTGATACTTTGGAAGGGAACAGGAAAAGTCAGCTGGAGAAGGTGTGAGCACAGCTTTGTATTCACAGATGGGAAGGGTGGTAAAGGATGAGGACATGGCAGTCAAACAGGCAACCTTGGGGAAGCTGGCAACCTTCCCCCAGGCAACCTTGGGGAAGCTGGGAACCCCCAAGCAGCGATTTGTGAAGGCCGGGGTCCCAGCAGACAAGCACCTGCCCATGAGGTCCGAAAGCAAGGCCCTGGAACCCTTGGATGTTTAAGTGGGGAGCAAGGAGGAGGAGAGAATTTTTTCCTCTGATGCAGTGTAAAAAGGAATCAGACATGCAGTTCTGCTGTCCCCATTTTAAAAAGGATGCTGTCCACCTGAGCAGGGGGCAGAGAGGAGCCCGAGGAGTGACTCCCAGCTGGGAGCAATTGAAAATGCCTAGTGTTTAATTTAGCGCAAGGAGACTGAGCAGTGAGACTTGATTCCTGTGTCCAAGGACCTTCACAGGGACACAATTAAGAGATGTTAGAGGGCTCCAATTCAGCAGAGAAGAAAAACAAGCAGCAACAGCTGGAAGCTGAAGCCAAATGCAGATTAGGAATTAGGCCACCTTTGTATGCAGCCAGGGCAGCTAGCTCTGGAAACAAAAATCCTACAACAGGAAGCAGTGGGCTCTCCTACCAATGTCCTCAGGGCCAGACCGGCTGCCTGTCTGGAAGATCTGCTATAACCATGCTACTAGGTTCCACATGGATCTGAGCGGCCCACACCAAAGGGCTTGTGATGTACAGGAGATGATGTTGCAGCCCCCTTTGGCTCTGAACTTTGGATTCAGGAACAAGATATGCCACAGTCCACCCTAAGCACTGGGGAGAGTTGCTGCCATCTCAGCACCTTCACTCCTTTAGCCGTCTGCGGCATTGTGCTCCTAAAGCACTGCATCCCTGTGCCCTGAATTAGCTTGGGCCAGACCATTAGCCAGAGATAAAGCCACTGCCAACAAATAGATACTGGCTGCTCAGATGGTAGCAAGACAAAGGAGTGCAGTGCAGTTCAAGGAGCTGAACCAACCACTCTGAGACTAGAGGGGCTTGAGTCTGTGTTCATCGGCTGCATCTGCAGTAGAAGCCCTCGTGTCCTGTGAAGCACCAGAACTAAAGCGTGGCAGAGTCAAGACGTGCCTCATCTCACCTCTCGTCCTCAAATATCCATCGTGGTGCAACTTCCGGGTACCCCCCCCCCCCCCACAGTTCCCCTGGCGGGGACAAACCCACGCT